TTGCGGAACATCCCCTCTCCTCTCTCTCTCTCTCTCTTCCTCGCATAACTCATTTAAATGAAATATAGCGAAAATTCCCTCGTGAGTAACAACGATCGCTTACACGCGAGAAATGAGGCGGAAAAAAAGCACGTGGCTCGCGTGAGAAGTTAATCGGCGCGGGTTGAGAGTTCAGCGGGAGAAAGTCAACGAACCAATAGCGAGCGGTTCTTGATTGACTCTGAATGGCACGCCGCTTTTATTACGTGCAATCGGTTATAATCCGTCTCCGTTCCTCCCTCGCCGTCCTTCTCCCACGCTGATGGCGATGCTCGTCTCTCTTTCTCTCTCTCGTCCTACATCGTGCACGACGTATATCCAATGGCGTGCTCTCAAGTATAGGTTGAGGCACTTACGTGATGTGTATTCGAGTACGGATCGAAACGCGATGTATACAGCGGGAGCGCGCAAGCTGAATCGCCCTCACATATTCCACTGTTATTTGCTGAACGGAAGGGGGTCCAAATTATTCAACCCCGTTTAGAGAATGCGTATTTAGTGCGTTGTTATATTTTGTTTTCTCTGCCTCTCTCTTTCTCCCTCTCTCTTTTCCTTCCTTTTCATTGAGATATAATTTGCGACATACGGTATACCCTGCGAGTGAAAAGATATCTAAAAAATGAAAAGTATTTATTTGCTGGATACTGATAATGTATTTACTTAGATTCTTTTATTTAAACGAAATAAATAAATTGCTTTCGTGAAAGGTAGAGGTTTGTAAGATATGTATTCCCTTGTTTGAAAATTATTTTATGTTAGAGTATAAGCAAATATATCATCAGTGCCCACCGAATATATACTTTTTATTTCTTACATTTTTTTCAAAAGTTTTAATATTCGTATTTAAAAACCAGAACAACACGAATGCCCAAGACTGGGTACAGTGGGTGGCAAAACGGTTTGGACATAGTAAAGTTAGGAGCTCTCAAAATGAAAATCATTACCGACAGATTTAAGCAATAATAATACAATTGATGATAATAATAATGGACACTGAATAATAATAAGTGATAATAATAATTAATAACAATAATGAATAACATAATCATTGGACAAGCTCATCGATAATGATTCTGAATTTTGACAGTTTGATGAACTCCCAACTTCATTGTATCTAAACCGTTTTGCCACTGTACGTGTCCGATTTTACTTTTACTTTTATCATGAAATTCGTCGCGCGGGCGTGATATCGACGATCGGCGGTGTAATGAAAATCACGTGTTGGCTGCTCACCGTGATGAGAAATGGTAATCGGTCACGCACAACAACGGTGATATCTGTCGAACGGATGCGGAGTCGACTGTTAAATAACATAGCGCGCCGTGTGCAATATTTATAGAGTATCATTTTATAAGAGTCGCGCGCGATTATAACCTTTCTGCATGTGCCGCTAATAAATAGACGGTATAAATAAATAACTGATGTCGCGCGCGAGGTGTTCTCTTTTTAAACGAACCCGCCTTTGGCGAACGCACACATGTGATGCCGGCGGTTTCGTCCACGTCGTCATCGCGATAGATGTGTGCGTGTGCGACACGTTAACGTTTGCGTTCGCCGAGCGCTTTTAACGAGGACTTTACGGGCTTTTGTGCCGAGCTGTCGCACTCGTTGCACGTTTCTTTTGTAACAACGCGTCTCGCACCATACACACACATGTACGCGCACGTTAAAAGCGTGCAAGATGCGATGACGCGAGCATCCAGGTAAACAGAACGTGGGTTGACATTTACTCGCGGCTCGATTAGCATAGTAAACCTTCTTCTCTCGCAAACCCGTAATTAGATTCGCAGCTCGGCCTCCTCGAACACCTCCTCGTTCCGCGAAGACGCGACGTCGCCGCCGCCGCCGTATCTGTCTCCCTTCGATTCGTCCGGAGAGAGACCTTGCGGAGAGACCTTGACACGATCTTTGCTCGTTGTCGAGAAGATGTCGACGAGTCGTGCTCTTCTGAGGAAGAGTGCCGGTCGTATCGAATTGGAATCTCCTCGTTGAAGCGGCGAGTCTCCGGTTCCCTTGCGTGGGAGGCTTCCGGAATGAAATATTCGATGAACGTGCGGGTGTTCCTCATATTGGAAGTACACGTCGGTCGATGTCGGTCGCGCCTCCGTATCGTCCATAATATATAAAATAGCGGCGCGGGTGTCTTCGACTTCTCGCGAATCGAGATCGAAGAGTCCCGCTAGACTGGTTCTCGTTCGGGAAACAGTAATTTCGATGTGCGAATTGCACGTTTTCATTCGCGCAACGAGACGCATCACGAACTCGAAAAATATAGGAAAATATAGGAAGCGTTGCAGTAAAAATTACATTAAAATTATACTTCTTTTTACAATTTCTTTATAATTTGTTGTGAAGCTGCACTATTCTTAAATTATAGTATAAAGTACTATAGTAAATAAATTTGGCAATCCATCTGGAGAATATGAGATACCCAAATAATTACAATAATGTTGTAACAGAAGGTCAAACATACATAACAAACATGCATTTTTCAACAAATATACAATTTCGATCATAATTCTGTATGGTTCACATAAGACTAAAAAAATTTTGTTGCAATTTTTCCTACAATACTTTCTACGTGTAAGGTAAACAGCCACAATTGGCGTTACATATATAATCATTGAAAAAAGTCTAGATAAACCTGGCTTTTCTTGCGACCAACATTGCAGTTGAGCTTCTTGCCTGCACTCTGCGATTTCCAAAGAGATCCTCACTGCTAAAATTGTGAACAGTTGACGGCAGGAAAGACCAGATTTTTCTAGAATGTTAGCGACCGCACACACACAAGGAGGATGTCAATAATTTTACCCTATTCCGATATTAGCTGTCGGTGCACAACACGTGATAATCCCGGACGTCTCAGCGAGTACTTGGAGTCCCGGTGAGAGCGAGGCGGGGTCGCGATATTTACCTCTCCGTGAATGCGTGTCGGCGACTCGATATACCGGTTACTTGATTACATTAATTTACGGTCTTCCAGCCGCTCCAGAAACGAGTTCCGTCGAGTTTAATCGACAAGCGTCGACAGCGAGCGGAAGTTGTTTGTTTGATCCTCTCTCGCCGGGAAGTTACTCCTTAGTTACACGTCGAAGTTCGTTCGGTAACTTTACATGGAGTATTTTCGAGACCTCTTACGGCGCGCGCCGTGCCGTTAACGAAGTCAGTCCGCCCGGAGACGCGCGCGCGACGTCGGTCGCGCGAATCTCCGCATGGTAACGGTACACGAGGGACGACGCACCGCTTCACTTTTCCCCCGAGACTTTGCTCACGACGAATATTTCCCATCGATCTCGGCTGTTGTTCTCCATCGCGACGTGTGTGTGGCGCGAAAACACGAATCTTGTTGCGCGTAAATCGCCACACACCGTGTCTACCAAATGTCGCGACGCCAGGCGACTACGAAGAATTACGGGAGGCGTTTAAACAAGCGCGCTTTTCCGAGGATACTCGAAAAAACGAGAGAAAGAGAGAGAGAGAGGAGGGGGGAAGAGAGAGAGCAAGAAAGGGATCTATTTAGAAATCACTCGGGATGAAAAAGCGACGTTACGAGCTCTTCGACGTTCCGCCATGACCTCTTCTTGAAGAGAAACTATATTTAGGTCTTGCTTTCCCCACGGAGTTTTCCGATAGAATTCTCCCACGGAAAAAAAATGACGACTTAAAATAACGATACCTGGCGTTATCGGCACCGTTATTTCGAGCCATGTATGTGCTTCTTTCTTTTTTATTAGACAGATGCGATACTAAACTCCTTTTTTTTACAACACTCATACGACGTTGATCTTGATTGCGTGCATCGTTACGACACGCGAATCGCGGTGCAAGCTTACGCGTGAGAAAAACGAGTTTTCCCGCTGCATCGAATGCCTCTCTCGTAAACGATTTGATGACACACATACACCCACATAAGTGCGCGCGCGCGTGACTCGGAAAGTCCGGCGATTTGAAGCGTGGTTTCACGCGTTCGATCGGCGCCACGTACTCTCCCCGCTGTTCGCCGCCCCCGCGTGCCCCCGTCGTGCATGCTAATGAGACGTCTGGTAAAGAATTCGGTAACCACGCGAACAGAACGTGATATCTCACGGATCACGCAAGTGCGCGACTCAGCAATCAGACGTGGCCGCCCACAGACGTATACGTTATTATGAGGGGCAATTGTGGAGGCTGCGTCGCGAACGGGGGACCCCGCTAAAATGGTACTTATACCTGTGTAACGATAATAGTAGCGCACACGTGACATCACTGTCATGTGCGCGCACATGTAGACGGTGCACACGCACGCACACAGAAATACACGTGTCTGTGTCTGGGGTTTCGTTATTTGCCTGACAATTGAGTGACGCGCCGTACGTCTCGAGCGAACGTGTATTGCACGCACGTATCCCTCGCGCGCTAACGACACAGTGTACAGCTCGCGTTATATAAAGAACATTTCGATGAACAATAAGCGTTAACTCTGCTGCTCCGAAACACACTCTGAAAGAATACAACATGATCGGAAAAACCAATACGAATGTGCTGAAAGGTTAAATGAATTTAACTTCAAAAATGAAGAGAATGGTCTCGTCTCGGATAATATACACGATGGGTAGGCTCTACCGTAGGAGGACATCGCCTTTCCTATACATGGCGCTCGGAGAAAAAGACAAATGGTGATAACAACTGTATATATAGGTGACAACTATGCGAGTTTTGTATGTAGAATGGTATATAATATATACATATAGTTAACAAATTGTGCACATTAATTTGACAGAACTCGTATAATTGTCACCTATAGTTGCCATTGTCATGTTTCTCTTAGAGCGCGTACCGTTTCCACGTATTTTTCCTCACGTTCCCCGCTGAGCACCGTGAAACTCCTCGAAATCCTTCGCCCTTCCTCGTATCATTGTCCTGCCGATGAGTTATTATTTGCGACAATCGACGAAAGGGATTGGCAATATTGATTGAAATAGACATCTCATGTCCCGCAGAGGAGCTCCTCTCTACCATGGAACGCCTTCATTCCCTTGCCGCCCACCGGCAGAAGCCATGGGGCGCCGCTCTCGGGAATGACCGCTCCGCACGCTGGCCACCATCATCCTGGCGGTCCGGGTGCGGCCGCGTCCGCCGCCGCCGCCGCGGCAGTCGCTCATCCCATGACCGTGGCGCAGCAGCAGCAACGGGAGCGCGAGAAGCGGGAGCTGGAACGGGAACGCGAGAAGCGGGAGCTGGAACGGGAGCGCGAACGCGAGTGGGAGCAGCAACGAGAAAATGAACAGCTGGCGGCAGCCGTGAGGCTGCACTTCCGGCAGGCGGACACCAGGGATCACGTCACCGCGCAGCAGGGGGCCGCTTATTTCGCGGCTACAGCGCCGCCATCTCAACAGGTACATCTATGTCGTCTTCTGCTTTTATGAGCTCTCATCAAGCTGCCCTTCTTTATCATCTCTCATTCCCTCCAATAATACCAGAATGATTCATATCCATCGCAATAATTAGATTAGTTGCCCGATTTTTAGACTCCAATCGTTCAGCAGTCAAGATGACGGCAAGCTAGCATTCTTACATTGATCGCAATTTTTCACTTGAACGAATGGAGCACAAAAATCAGACCACCAACTAATTAGCATATAGCATCAGCATCCAATCGAAATATATTTCTAATTGTAACATGTATTTCCTTCAGGTATCTCGACCTTCGAGCGTGCCTGGAAAAGTCGACTATCATCCACCACCGGCGCACTCGCGAACATCCAAGCTGCCGTTACCCTCGGGCAGCACGCTGCACGATAAGTCGTCACCAGTGGTGGGACCGTCGCACAGCTCGCTACCGAAAGCCGAGCCGAACATAAACTTATTTAACTATACATACTCGCCGACGTACATGCGCGAAATGAAAGTGAAGAGCGACCTGAGCCAAGCGCACAAGTCGCTGCCAAGCAAGAGCGGACTAGCCGGCGGCCTCGAGAGGGACCACCACGGTAGAGAGGTGCTGCAGAATCCACCGTCTCTGTTGCCGGACCACAAAAGCTCAGTGATCGTGAAGAACGAGGGACGAGAGTTGCCGAAGGCACCGGCGCCACAGCAGCACTCGTCCAGTCCGAAGATAATGTCTTACCTGAACGTCCAGTCGGTGGCACCGCAGCACAAATCGTCCGCGTACGAGTACAGGAGTCCGACGCAGAGTCCGCACCATCTGCACCACCTCGACAGTCTGCAGTCGGCAGCGAAAAGCATACCGCCGCCACCGGCGAGTCATCACCGCAGCAGTGGCGCCGTGCCGACGACAACGACGCAACTGCCGAGTCCACATGGCCATCCGCCGCCACCTCCGCCGGCGCCTGCGCCGCACCCGCACAACCGTCAGTCTCCACACGCCCAACACCCGCACGCTCAACCGCCACCACCGTTGCCGCCACATCCCTCACCGCCGGAGCCGCGCTACCTGAACAGGCCGGAGCAACAGGGTATACCATATGCTCCAGCGAAGTCCGCATATCCGTATCCTCATCCACATCCGCCCACGGCTTCGCCGACGTCGCACTATGCAGCGCCGACGACCGGTTCCAAGCCGAAGGTCAGCAGCCCGGCACCGCAACACTTCTACGGCAAGCCGAACTCCGGGATCATGACCGGCACACCGGTATGCCGTGCATCTGAGCCTGCCGTCGCCGCGCCGATACCGTTGACCTCGAAGGCTGGCAGTTCGCCTTACCAGCAAGTGCCTCACCATCACGGGGCGCCGACACACCTGCCGCCACCCGCGCACAGTAGATCCGTCTACGACAGTCGGGGTGCTTACACCGGCTCGATGCCGGCCGGAAAACTGCCGCCGCCGTTGCACGGTTCGCCACCCACGGCCGCTTCGGCGCCTCTCTCGAGGCCAATCGTTCATCCCGTTCATCGTACCATCAGCCCGCATCAGCAGCCGAATCAGACGATGCAACATGTGCAGCCGCAGATCAACACGGCCTTTCAAACGCAACCGCTCGATCTCGGGGTGGAGAGGTCCGGTTCGCCCAAGAGAAAGGCGCCGACGCCGTTGCTGTGCGACAATAACGCTGGTCAACCGGTGGCTCTGGAAGTATCCAAGAAACGCCGTACCGAGGAGCCGCAACCGCAGCCACAGCCGTTATCGTTGCAATGTGTCGGACCGTCTATGCTTTCCAGGGTGAGCGAACCCAGTCCACTGATCGCCTCCGCCGCCACATCAATCACTACCGTCGTCAATACTGCGGCATTACTCGCGCAACCGAATAATCAAGCGCAGGAACGCACGGTAACGGCGGTGAGCCCAGCACCAAGAACCTCCAGTGGTGATGGCTCGGTGCGACCCGCTAGTACTGGCAGTGTGTGCTCGCTCAACCCCACGCCAGTGAGCGCAGTACCCAGTCCAGCACCTATACCGAGTCCTGCGCCCTCTACCGCACCCAGTCCGGCACCTAGTGCCCCTGGCACACCTGCTAAAGTAAACAACATCAATACCAGCACCGCGGACAGCGAGAAGTCCAACAGTCCAGCACCGAGACCACCGAGCAGCACCAGTTACCCGGTGCACAAATTGAAAAAAGCGTGGTTACAAAGGCATTCTGGCGAGGATGGCACAGAGGATACAACCGGCATTGTCGGCAGCGGCTCCTGCCTTACATTACCCTTAAAAATATCCCAGGTGCCATCGCAACCTTTGAACAACAAGGAACACCGCGAGAGTAGCAGCGGCACGTCCAATACGACCAACAACGCGCCGACGAGCACCTGTTTGCCCAGTGCCGTCAATTCGATTCATAATATCGGTAGTATGGCGGTCAACAGCATTAACAAGAGCAAGGTAACCGGCAAAAGTGGTCGGAAACCGGCGAACAAGGAATCCCTCAACGGCCACGCTACAGATACCAAGACTCCGCAGGAAGACTCGTCCAGCAGCGACCCGGAGAGGAAGTCGCCGCCCAAGCGAAAGCCACCCAAGGTATCTATCTCTATTAGTCGTTTATGGTAGATTTTGTTGCTGTGGTTGTTGTGTGTTGTGTTGTTGTTGTTGCTACTGTAAGCTCGCCATTTGGAGCGCGTATATCGCGTTGTAGGCCTTTACTCGCTTGCTACTCGGGAGAGTATAAATTTGCGGTAATATAATTTTGCAATATTTAGTGCCACTAAATTTCGGTTTTGTCGGTACGACTCGTTAAGGGGATGCCGCACTTGAAAATTTTATCGACGAAATAATGACTTCTTTCTGTAAAATTTATGTCGTATTGCTTGCACAAAAAATTACAAATGCTTTTATTAAAATGTAATGAAAACAATACAAATTTTAAAATTGATATCTCAAGCTGTCAGTTAACATAAATATTTATCTGATACAAAAATTTTGCAGTACAGCGTTTGTTCCGCCAACGAAAATTTTGAAAAATATTTTGGTATTTTTACAACTAAATATAGAAGCTCAAAAGTGTACAAAAAGTTTGCAGAAAGATTTCTACATGTACGTAATTGTTTTCTGCTCGCATGAAAAAAACAAAGCACACATTTATATAAAATCTATATAAAAAATACGAAAAAGATAGTATAGTCACGATCATTTCCACGTTATCAACATTTTCCGAATTCGTCATCTACTTCGATTAATATACTTCCTTAAATTGTATGGCTTAAAAATAAAAAATTTTACAATCTGCGATCAAATCGTACTGGTTGAAAATGAAAGTATTTTTACATTTTATTCACTCGCAGATGAGTGCACCACTTAAAAAGTAAAAGTCTAAGTTCCTTTGTGGAGTTGTACTACCACTCCTCTTTGTTAAGGATAGTACTCGCAAACTTGGAAAATTTACATTTTGTCTTATCCACCAATCCGTTACTCTTCAAAAAACGTATAAAGGACTGTCTATAATGGGAGTAAAGTATGACTGCAAGAAGAGTAAAAAAATTGTCCAATCACACCCAAACAGGACGACAAGGTGTCCTGGGGACGTCCCAGGGACGTAGGAACAGAGGACGTAGAAACGTCCCCAGGACATCTTCAGAACATACTTTACACGTCCTTTGAATATCTGTACTGTTAGGGCAGTCAATTATTTTTCTCACATTCGATTGTGTGATCGGTCAATTTCTTACTTTTAAAACCTTTTCACAATGCCAGGCTATAGGCAATAGGAATAGACATTAGCCAATAGGAACAGGAAATAGAAATAATTGACCAATCCAAATTCCTATTCCCTGTTCCTATTGCTTGTTGCCTGGCTTTCTGCAAGGGCCTTTCAGCCATACTTCCATTGTGAACGGACCTTAATAGCGAACTAGCTCCATCTAGTGGAATTATGAAGTACCCAGTAGTTGTGTGGTTTGAGTCTCAACTAAATGATCTGTTATAACTAGACCCGTTATAATTTCATCAGATCCAAAATTCTCTATTAAAATAAACATTTTTTCCGACCTGATATTGAACTATATTACGCAAATAAACATTCAAGTTAGGTTCAAAGTTGTATAAACAAAGTGTGTATATTTCATTCTCCACGCATGCAACATCCAATGATAAAATCTATCTAAAATCAGCAGCACACTATGCTTATTTTCGTACTGGTTTGCTTGTTGGATGAAAATACTCTGTTCTAATTGGTGCATTTCTGAAGATGGATGAAAATGCACCAATCAAAATAGAGTATTTTCATTCAGCAAGCAATCTAGCACGAAAACGAGTACCGTTTCATGGACGTAGTATACATAGACCTCGCATACGCTCAGAAAAGTGAAGCCAATATATACAACCCTTCTCTGTTCTCTGTCTCTTTCTGCACAGACAAAGTGTGCAATAAAATTTAAGTAAGACGTTTACTTGCCAGTCTACTCGGGGTGCTGTTGCACTCTATAATATTATGGAAACGAGAAATGGATGCACGCGCAACAAAAAAGTGACAAGATAGGAAGAAAACTATAGCCCCTCTATTGTAGTTCTCTTTCTAGATGTTGGCTTCACTCTATTAGATGACAGAACATAGGGCATTCGGAATCCATGTATACTATGTCCATGCACCGTGTGTCGCTGACTTAAAAACAAAGACCTGTATTCTGAGTTCTTTTAACGATAAATGAACTTCTAAAAGAGGCTTAGAAACCAGCTGATTGGCTGAGAAGCTACATTTAAGGCATTTTTATTGATAAAAGAAGATTCAGAATATGGGCTAAAGACTTTATCATTAGACATTTGGTCTGTTCCTTTTAGCTGCACTGCTAAACTAGTGCATTAAATTAAGATGAGACAAATATATTTTTTCTCACTCAAACTTATTACACTAGTTCAGCAGTGCAATAAGTTAAAATGAGAAAAATAATATTTCTCATTCTAACTTATTGCAGTTCAGTAGTGCAGCTAAAAAGAACAGACCAAGTTTCAAAATGCATCGAAAGAAACTTGTTGAGGTCATTTTAAAAATAAATGTACATGCAAAAGCACGAAGATCCCTTCAAAGTTTAACTATGAAATGTTGTAATATCGAATTCTTAAAAATTATATTTGAGAACAACGAAACGTTAATCAATCTCATAACAATTTAATAATTGAATTGATTTATCATCATCCGTTATCGACCGTTCATAGATGTAGTTTGGAAGTTACGCGCCATTTTCCCAACGGAAAGCGCGTATGAATCATTCTAACGAATTCCGTGCAAGTGTGTGCGAGTAGTTCTGCGTACCGTCAGAAATATTAATTTTGTCGACACATGGAGTCATTTCATGCAAAGGACATCCAACGTCGCTATCGAGCATTGCGATTTGCTTCATGGGAGAACGTGGTAAAATAGTCAATATTTTTGTACTACGAAATTTACGTCGCCAATGTGACATAACCTCAAATCGCGTAATATACTTGGAAACTTACATGATAATTTTGATTCTTTTTCAAGAGTTATATAGTAAATCTCAGATGTAGATAATTATACTGGTTTAAAATTGCAATAATTTCCTTATAGAGAGAATATTGAACAACATTACGAATCACATGATATATAAAACTTAATGTACCAAAAGTAAACATATTAGAGAGTTATTAGTTTTAATTGTTGATATTAATCAAACATTAGAAGCAAATTCTTTAAAATCTCAATATCAGGCACAAAATTATCAGGAAAAGTTGGAAGATAACTGCAAATTACAAATAAATAGTTGTTACACAGATCAAGATAGAAGTATGAATGCGTAAGCTGTATGCGATGACTGCCTACATAATTCTACAATTGTACAATAGGCCTGTTTCTTTTTTTAAGAACTTTTTCAAATGACATATACTGATGCAATAGAGTGAGTTAGAGTGAAAGTATATAATAGATTTGTTTTCTATTGCTGAACTGGCTGCACTAACTTGTATTAGTTTTCTTCTTACTTCTACCAAGTTTTAATTGTATATTTGTTTCTTTTTAATAAAAAAGAAACAGATGTTTCATAAATGTTTCATAAACTAGTTCAATAATAAAAAATAGACCTTTTGTTCTAATTTATCATAGTGTATACCAGTGTATATCAGTTCAGGAAGTTCTTCGAAAAAGAACAAGGCATCAATCATGAATCTTTTTATATGAACTTAATCTTATTTATCAATCATATAACTTTTTTAGTATGGAATTACGAAGAGTGAATAATTTTACAGCATTTGAAAGCGATTATGAATCTTTTCCACCAATGTAAACTCGTGAAAAGTGAATATTTCCACACATATTTTGAAGATCATATTTTTACTTTTCATGAGTTCACACAAGGAGAAGAAATACATGATTGACTCGCTGACCTAATTTTAAACCTTGTATAGATTGAAGTAGATTTGTGAATTTTCCCCTTGGCGAATGGTAGAGCTGTGAAGTAGTAGTGTGGCCGATTAGCAGCTTTTGGCTAGTAGATGCGGCAAGAGCATGAACTTCCTGACTACTTAATAATCTGTGCCCTGTGGTAGGTAAAACGAAAGAAGGGCGCCGCACGAAGGCAACAAACAGCCGCGGAAGATCAGCGGAGGCGGAAAGAGGACAAGCAGGGTGGTGGAGCTGGTGCGGGTAGCGAGTCCAGCAATGAGAGCGAGGCAGGCTCTGCTAGTGACACCAGTGAGCAGCTAAGCTCCATTCAGCCTACGTCGAGGGTGCGACACACCACGGCTAATTCCAACAATTCCTCGGGAAACGGTTAGTTGACGTAGCTTCTTGTAAATGGACTTCCCGTCAGGTGAACTAACTATTCACTTGCAGGGTAAGTGATCCGTGTTCCACGATGATACAATTATCCCTTTCTTTAAAGTTGTGTACGGGAACTCAAGAAAATCAAGAGCAAATGAGATTGTTCAGAATAATTGTCACGTAAAAAGAAAAAGAGCTTCATGTTTTTGTCGAAGAGAAACGCGAGGATTTCGAGAAACCTCGGATCTCTTGTGTTTTTCGCGAGTTCGCCACTCATCTTTGGATTTTTGTGATTTGATGTCGCGCACTTACCCTGTACTTTCTTAATTGTTATCTTTTCACCTGTGAGACATACACATATCTTTGAAATAATACGCACATGATGAAACCTTACATAATAATTGATAACCATGATATATCATTATATTATGAGCTTTTTAACACTGATTAATGTTGATCATATACAAAAAAACAAACAATAATTTTAGAACACTGTTGAATCAAGACGCGCAATATTATTATATATAGGAAGTAACAAGGAGCCTAGGAAACGCGGTAGGAGACCAAAGACTACGAAGGGTAACGAAGTTGGAGGGGAAGATCAACAACCCCGACAGAAGAAGGAACGCAGGGACGACAGCGCGAGCGGTGGTAACAATGGTCCGGGCGGGAGCGGCGGGAGAGGTGATCCCTTTCGCAAACCACCAATATCACAACTGAAGAAGACCGGTGAGAGCTGGTTACAGGACGGCGCCTGCTTCGAAGTGGCGCCCAAGCTGGCGAAGTGTCGCGAGTGCCGATGGACGCCGCACCAGCGCTCCAAAAATCTACCGCAGAATATCTTCTGCAGATTCTACGCATTTCGCCGGCTGCGCTATACCAAAAACGGGCAACTGGCCATAGCGGGATTCAGCGATCCACACAAGGATGCATCCGAGGTATGCACAATCGTCCTTTGAACTTTTTCGCGTAGACTACCGTCGGTGATTGACGGATATGGCACGTTCCTTTACGTTGCACCCATTTCACAGCCTCGTTCCAAGATGCATGCTCTCACGTGAAAACTGTCGTTACGATGTTACAGGAAGATCTTCGATTATGGTTACCAGGAAAGGATAACCAGGAGTCAACGGGGAAAGACGAGAAATCCGAGAAGAACGAGAAAGACAAAGGAGATCGGGAAGATTTAGACTTGGAGACGGCTCATCGGCTTCTTCGGCAGGTTGGCGATCAATTCTGTGATCTTTTACATCAGGAGAAAGATGCCCTCCAAGAACATATGGCCGAAGGTAAAATTTTGTTTCTTCTCTCTATTTTGTTTCTAAATACGTGTCGCACAACTAATCCACTATCTTTTTTACACCAACTAACACGAATCTTACGTGTAAAATAATCAAACATACACGCGCCGCATATATCACATTCATAAAGTCGGTTTTTCGTTTAATTTAATATTGAATTTTTTTTCGACGCACTTGATTTTCCCATGCGTCAGTCATTCAACGTCCTATGTACAATATGTAACGTCCAAAAGATAATTTTTTTAAGTATGGATAATATTATCATTTATATGTCAAAACATTCGACTAATTATCTTCGGACTTACGTATTTTTCTTTAAATATTAGGTTGCATGTTCGCTTGCGTAACTTTTTTTTTGTTCGCATGTTTTAACGCTTTGCGCATCGGTTATGTACCTTTTGACAGCGAGTTCGGGGGTTATAGACGGAACGGTAGCGTGGAAACGAGTGATCCAAGGTGTCCGAGAAATGTGCGACGTATGTGAGACTACGCTGTTCAACTATCACTGGGCTTGCGGCAAGTGTGGTTTCGTCGTCTGCATCGATTGTTACAAGGTAAGATGTCACGCTCGATATATCATTTTTTCTTTCTTTCCTTTCAGTTAAACGCTAGGAACTACATGATGACAATTAACTAACAGATGTTACGTGATGTATCATAGTAATATTTATCGAGCTTTTTAACACTGACATTAATGTATAAGAGAAATGTTCTTTCTTTCTCTTCGCGGAAACGAGAAAATTTACTAACGGAAACGTATCCTATTGATATTTTAGGGACGCAAGAATGGAACGATCAAGATCTGGGGCGACTGCGGCAAAGACCGGGACGATTTCTCGTGGCTGCTATGCACAAACAGACAAGCTCACGAGCCGGAACGACTCATGTTGACACAGATCATCGCCGGCGACAGTCTCCTGCGTCTCGGTCAACGTTTGCACGAGTGCCGCGCGGAATGGGGAATCGCGCAGCATTGCGCTTGCTCGCTCGCGATGCCTTCACAGCCGAACGAAATCCTCCGGAACTTGATCAAAGGCGACTCCGTGCTGGTGCTCAACGGAAACGTCAAGCAGGAGGTGAAGGAAGAGAAGAAGCTGAACGAGTCTAATGGTGCGTCGTCGGAGAGCAAGACCAACGGCGAGGACAATTCATCGCTGAATTGGTTGGCCGAGGTGGCGTTGCAGAATCAGCAGGAGAAGCCTCCCCCCGAGAGCGGCACCAGCTCGGACTCGGACGAGGATCGCGAGGAAGGCTTCTCGACACTGCGGGAGCTGCTTGTCGGATCTTCACACAAGTCGAACGGTAACGGATCTAGATCAAACTCGCCCACAAATAATGCGAGCGGCGTGAACACTCCCGCTGGTAATAACGTCGCCAAATCCGGCAAGAAATCAAAGATGGATACGCTCGACGAGGTAATATCCAGCGTGATCGAACATAGTGTGAAGAAGGAACGAGACAGCGGTATGGACGACGAGAAACCACGAGAGTTGAAGCACTTCGTGCGACGTTATAAGTGGACGCAGCGAGGTCGCGAGCCGTTACCCATTAGGATCATGACTCTGACAGAGAGCAAGAGTTTGTATCCGGACGTACCACATTCGTGGCTCTGCGACGGCAAGATGCTAAGGTTAAATGACCCGAACAATCCCAACAATTACCGGATATTCCAGGACCAGTGGAAACGCGGGCAACCTGTGATCGTCTCCGACGTTTCCAAGGCGTTAGACATGAATCTGTGGCATCCGGATTCGTTTGCACGCGATTTCGGCGACGAAAAGAACGATCTCGTCAACTGTATGACGGGTAATTTGGTGCCGAATCAACCGATGCGTAAATTTTGGGAGGGATTCGAGCACTTTTCCAAACGGCTCAAGGACGAGCGGGGCAATCCTATGTTGCTGAAACTGAAAGACTGGCCGCCCGGTGAGGACTTCGCCGAGCTGCTCCCGTCGAGATTCACGGATCTGATGAAGGTCCTGCCGTTGTCCGAGTACACTCACAGAAACGGTAGACTGAATTTAGCGAGCCGTTTACCCAATTGCTTTGTAAGACCGGACCTAGGGCCGAAGATGTACAACGCCTACGGCTCCGCGCTTCACCCCAACAAAGGCACGACTAATCTCCATCTGGACATCTCTGACGCCGTGAACGTCATGGTGTACGTGGGTATCCCGAAGGATGCCGACAGCGACGAACACATCAAAGGTACGTACTCCTACTCGTTTTCGATCATGCGCGATTAATTAATTGATATACTCTCACCGCAGTATATCGCAATTAATAATCCGAAATTCAATCGTCGAAACTTTTAATCGTTGCAGAGGCATTGAGAGCGATAGACGAAGCAGGCTGTGATATTCTGACGCGTCGTCGGGTGCGCGAACGCGGCGAGGCACCCGGTGCGTTGTGGCATATTTATCCGGCGCGCGACGCCGACAAAATTCGAGACCTTCTGAATGCCGTAGCGTTAGAACGCGGCGCTCGCTTGGAACCACATCATGACCCCATCCACGACCAGAGTTGTTATCTTGACGGCCCGTTGCGAGAACGATTGTACCGAGAATACGGTGTCGAAGGGTAAGCGTCACCTTGCAACTTGCACAGTTTTGTAAATTGTAAAATATTAAGTTAGAGTTTAAATATCTTATGTATGTATAATATAAACAATGCCGATAATATGAAACATTTAACGTTGCAGGTACGCCATTGTTCAATGTTTGGGCGACGCGGTATTCGTGCCGGCCGGCGCGCCGCATCAAGTCCGCAATCTTCACAATTGCATCAAAGTGGCTGAAGATTTCGTGTCGCCGGAGAATGTCTCGCATTGTTTCCACCTGACTCAGGAGTTCCGCGCGTTATCAGACACGCACACCAATCACGAGGACAAGCTGCAGATTAAGAATATCATATACCACGCGGTGAAGGATTCACTGACCGTCTTAGCAAACGTCAAGGAAGAGACTCTCACCAAGCTCAACGAGACGAAGACGAAAGAGGAAACGTAGCCTTAGGCCCCCGCAATACGGTAAGACCCGTGGATGATCATTAGAACGAATTTCGTCGTCACTATGACGAAACCAACTCCGCTCGCCGTTCCTCGGCGTTCCCGAACAGCGGAGAATCTTGCTGGCAAGAATAACCGGGAGAAACTGCAGAAGACGACCTCCTTCCCCTCCGCGAAGAAATCGCCTCGTGGAGGCGCGTCGCTGAGGTAAAGAATTTGTTGTGATACTTGACCAGGAACCATTTTGGAAAACATTATAATTTGCGATATCGCCTGAGCCAGTATTTGGTTATTTGTTTTTTTCTTTTTGTTTATTTTCGGGCTGTCTCTTGCACCGAGTCCGTTTTTTGCTCTCCCGTTTTACGGGCAAAAAGCCGCCCGCGGACATGAAGTCCGACGAGCTATATAAGATATGTGAGAAGAGAAAGGGGGAGAAAGATTTGTGGGCCGGATCGCGCTATGAGTAAACGCCGCGTCCATTTACTATTGTGATACAAGGAGGACTCTGTGGATCGTACGTTACTTGTAATTAATTATATCGTGCCTGTATCCAATACACATTCACACACACACACATACACACTGTCTATATTATATAAATGTAGATAATTGAATATATATATTATATATATTATATATACATACTGTGTACTGAATGAATTTTTGCTAGCAACTACGCGAGACGGTTGTCTAGGAGTACCTTTGTGCAATTAGATGGTTGAACAGTTTAGCTGGATCAGTGATAAATATTGGATCCATTAATCGTGTGCTCTGGTGCTTTCTCTGGTGTATCTCTGGTGTAGCCCCGCCAGAGATAGTCGATACGTATTCGCGTTAGATTTTTATGTTCCACGTAAAAATGGTGTAAGTGATGAAAGCAAAAAACACTGCCTAACTAATCGGTTCGACGACAATGAGAAGAGACAAGTCTTCTCTCGCAATCATTCTAATAGATTGCTTACAACTCAACGAGTTGTTGTTCAAAGTCGCGATTGCTTTTTTACGGCGAACCATATGTATCGGCTATGAACATCGGCGGGGTGATATAAGTTTTGTATGACTGTCACTTCGATTATAAGGCATCAGAACGTAACAAAAAAAAAAAGAATTACAACTTCTTCGATATTACTTCTTCGAACCCGGTGTATCGCAACCCGTCGTGTAACGGGGGTGTAATTAATAAGATAAATCTGTTATTTTTGTCAAAACCACGCGAACCGTCTATAAAATCCGACACGTGAAAGAGTGAAAAAAGAAGAATGAAAAGACAGCGATAATCTAATTGTATCGTAATGGGATATTAACTGATAGGAATAAAATTATGCAGTAATGTTATTTTAAAAAGAATGAGAGAGAGAGAAAGAGAACGACAAAAAAGAAGAAGGAAGAAAGAGCGTAAAAGTAAAAGCGTAACGACTTTCGAAGTGCCAATGTTGAACGACGTGGGACATTTAAGTGTGTACGCGTTATGTATCGTATATGCGTAGGTAGAAAAAAATGAAGAACAAGAAGAGGAAAAAAGAGGAAAACAATTAGTCACACAGAATCTGCAGAGATGACAGGCCGAGTTCCTATCATTCGACAGTTCGCGCGAAGACGAAGTCGCCGCGCTCTATCCGCCGCACTGTCATTGTCTCGCGATTCGAAAACTGCTGTAGTAGCTTCTGTTACCTTCGTTACCTTATCTCGCGAGATTCGTTCAATAAACATTGCTCAATGAAGCAAACAAGAAAACAAGATATTATAAACGAGCGAATGTAACTATTAGCCCAGATCTACAATATGCTCTCTTTGTTTCCTATATTTTTCTCTTTATCTTTTTCTAGCTTAAACTTTCTAGCTTTGAACTTTAGTCAAAAAAAAAGATAGTGATAAAGAAACAGGGAGCAAAGAACACATTGTAGATCAGACTTTGGAGATTCTTTCCGACTTTTGCGTTCGTGTTTTTTTTTTTTTTTTTTTTTTTTTTTCTTTAAGCAAACTTGAAACAGCAGCTCTCGAATCGGGCGTATCTACTTAGCGTCTTTTGCGCCACTTTACGCGCCGATCGATCGTCGACTGTATTACGGTTGGTTAATAATCATCGACACCGATGAGACATGTAAACGAATGAAAATATCGGAAAATAGACGAACGAACCGAAAGGAGAGGAAAAAAAAAAGTTAGAAATCACTGGCATCCTGAAATCCGCAATTTCTTTGATCTCAACATTCGTCTAGCATACAACGACTTGATTAAAATAATATTTAACGAGTACATTTTTAAAATATCTTAGTGTTGATAAGTACGCGCGCGCGTTAACGATTATGAAAATTGTATAAGCCACAACAAACATAACAAGCAACAAAACTAAAAAACAAGAGGTACCGTTATTACTCCACGGACGGCGGTGTATAAAGTTCTCTAGGAAGACATATTTCTGTGTATTATTGCTGCAAACGAGAAGCTATTGTTTGTTCTCTATTGCTATGTGTATGTACATATTACATTTATACATCCGTATATGTATACATATATACATATATAAATACGAAAGAGGGAAGTCTAGGATTATGATAAGCAGTACACCCCTTTATGAAACCACGATGAAATACCACTTTACACGCGTAGGTAGATAGTTTATTATGCCATTATTATTATATTATTATCATTATTACGATTAATTATTACGAAAAATACGATATTTAAATGTTGCTAAATATGCCGAGAGAAAGAGCGAAGAGTAGTACGAGAGTCGCGAGTGTAAATGATTAAAAAGAAAAAAAATTGGGAGAGTTCACGATGCTTGAAGTCGCAAGAAAGAAAAAAAGAGAAAGAAAGAAAGAAAGAAAGACGGTTTGTATGCGTGCGTGCGTGCGTTTGTTGCGTGTGTGCCGCGAGTGAAAGAGAGGAAAAAAAAACCGTGCGTGTGCGTGGGCAATCCAGTGAAAATGTGAAAAAGTACGCACGTGAGAACACAAGGGGCCGTGTATTGGGGGCGGAGTGAAACGGATACTATAAAACAATGTACAGATCTTACGAGAATCCCACGAGAGACATCCACCCCTCAAAAAAAAGATGAAGAAAAGAATAAGTCCCACGCTATCCCCCCCCCCCCCC